ACTTTATTCAATGATCGGGGTTATCACATGCTGACTTTGAATAAATATTTAGAAATCTACACTTAATGTGACTAACATACAGTGCATCCAACCAGCCAGATCCATTTATCTAGACATTGCTTGTACCTTATTCGTGAGGTAATTGATTTCCTTTACTAACTATGGCGACTGTGTTTTAGTCCAGGTACAATAGGCCAAAGAGCCTTCTCCAACTCCTCCAATATAATTATTTCCTGCCACCAACTCACTGACATGGCACACCCATTCACTAGATGAGAATGCACTCCAACAGCCAGCAAAGTGGATTCTTCTTGGCTTTCATTTTATATGCCTAAAGAAAACCCCTTGCAGAGGAATAGGAAGTCTGTGAAAGCATCATAGGGAATCTCAACTGAATACTCTCATTTTCTTTCTATACATTTATAAAGAGGCAGAGGCTATAAGGAAATGTTGCCATCATTCCTATCTCCTTCTGAGGCATAGAAAATAGCTGTGGCTCTTGATATAATATTACACATGCTACATTTCTCTTTACAGACTTATGATATGTTAGTTCAACTAGTTTAAAAGATTTGATTAGGAGAACCTTCTCCATTTGTACCCCACCCTTAATTTTTTTCTTATCTGGCTGCATGTCATATGATGACACTACCAGAATTGTGAGAAACCAAAGGCTTCCAGGCACCCATTAGGAGAAGGATGAGAAATTTTATTCAAAGCATATGGGTGTTGGGATTAACCAAATCTAAGAACCAGAGAATTTACTGTGCATGGTTCAGGGATGCCATTACTCTCTAAATACCTCTTGCTAGAATGCAAATGCATTAGATCAATCCAGAAATGCTGTTCTTGATACAAAAAGACCTACGTCGACAAGATCACGCTAAATAAAGGAAAGCTAAGTAGTGTTTTTGTTAAATATCTACAAATAAGTTAAATATTGTCCTGATGCTCATGTGTAAGTGTTATTATTAATTGCTTAACTGACATCTCAATTATGGCATTCCTTGGGAATGATTCTCATTTATACAAAGTCAGTTATATTTCACAACCCAACATAAAAATTCTGTGAAATAAAGCTTTTTTCTTTTTCAACTGTAAAAGCTTTGTATCTCTAAGCACAACTTCTTTTGTTTATGTCCATTCAGTTGAAGGGAAGGGGTGAGGCCTCTCAGGAAAGTGAAACCCATAGTGACTTCTGTTCCTGACTCCTTCCTTATGAGCCATTTTCTCTTTATCAACCTCAGGGGCTCCTTCTAACTCGCCTACCCATGTTTTTCATTATGAAAAAAGCCTTTAAGTGAATTCATTCTATAAATATTTATATATACCAAGCACTCTTCCAAGCACTGGGAAATAACACTGAACAAACAGATAAAAATCCCTCCTCTCATGGGATGTGTGTCTTAGAGCCCACGAGAGGATGGTGGCACAAAATCTAACACGTACTTTCAGATGAATATCAAGGGCAAACTCAATACGTATTTTTAGTTGTTTTGTTCTTTTTGTGGAATCCTATCAGGGCTTAAAACCACTTAACGTTACCCCTAATTCTAGTGTGAGGAGACAAATATTAAATAATATAAATAACTTAAATATTTGATAATAAGATGTTATATTCAAAACAAAAGTGTGATGGAGGGATGGTGGGTAGGAATGTTAAATTTTAAATTGAATGACCAGGTGCGACTTTACTGAGAAGATAGCATTCATCTAAAGATCTGACGGATGTCAGTTAAGCAGTCTTTTTTTTTTTTTTTTTGCGGCACACGGGCCTCTCACTGTTGTGGCCTCTCCCGCTGCGGAGCACAGGCTCCGGACACGCAGGCCCAGCGGCCGTGGCTCACGGGCCCAGCTGCTCCGCGGCATGTGGGATCCTCCCGGACTGGGACATGAACCCGTGTCCCCTGCAGCAGTGGCAGGTGGACTCTCAACCACTGCGCCACCAGGGAAGCCCAACCAGTCATTTTAAATTTGAGTTTCTTACACTAAATTAACTGGGGAATTTTAATAAATTTCAGCACAGGTAGCCAGGTGGAAAACTATAGTTAATTAAGTAATGAATTAGTATTCTAATTTATTAATTAACTTGTTGGTAATTTATCAGACAGACCTCTGGAATCATCTCAGTTCATGACTACCCATGGGCGGTAAGGGGTAGGCCATGTTAAGGAAAGGAGAGAGCTCAGGGGACCAGCTAAGAAGCTATCACAATCCAAGTGAAAGAGAAAGAATCTGAATGAAGACACTGATATTTTTCCAAAATGACATTTTCCCAAAGTAATCTGGTTTCTGGCCTTTTTTGTGTTCTTTCATTGCTCCTTACTACCTTTAGAATAGTGCCCAAACCTCTTTGTTTGACATTGAAATCCTTTCAAAAATTGGCTGCTTACTGGTTTCTCTAATAGGTGTGTCTGTATTCCAATAAAACTTTATTTACAAAAATAGATTGTGGGCCAATGTTTACTGCAGTCAGCTGTTTGCCTACCTCTGGTCTACTTTATGGGACTCTCTCAGTCTTAGCACATGGCTTCCATTCTAAAAGTTATCTCACTAGTATCAGAAACTGCTGAATTCACAGCCAGTATGTCAACATTCCAGGTAAGAAGTTGGAGGAAGAGAAAAAAGATTAAAAGAGCACTTGCGGGCTTCCCTGGTGGCGCAGTGGTTGAGAGTCCGCCTGCCGATGCAGGGGATACGGGTTCGTGCCCCGGTCCGGGAAGATCCCACATGCCGCGGAGTGGCTGGGCCCGTGAGCCATGGCCGCTGAGCCTGCGCGTCCAGAGCCTGTGCTCCGCAATGGGAGAGGCCACAACAGTGAGAGGCCCGCGTATCGCAAAAAAAAAAAAAAAAAAAAAAAGAGCACTTGCTAGCTCTTTCCTCAAATAGAACCTTCCTATATATCTCACCCAACATCCACTTACATCTCACTGGCCACTTCTTTGTGCAAAGAACCTGAGGAATATAGCTGTTTAGATGGATATATTTTCATTTAATAAAATTAGGGTTCTGTTACCAAGGAAGAAAGAAAGAATGGATATTGGGTGGGTTTCTAGCAGTCTCTGTCATATCTATCAGATTTTAATCACCCGGTGTCAGTTTCTTCATTTGTCAAATGGAACACTATTAGCACCTCACAGAGTTGTTCGGTGAAGGTTGAATGATCCAACACAGGAATGCTGTTAGGAGAATGCCATGCACACTGTAAGCTCTCAGTAGAACTGACACATTGTTGGAATTAGCCTTATTTTCGTCTTTTGTGTGTTTTGATCTTTGTTGTATTTACAGTGCCTAGAATGCTTTCTAGCACATAGGAGATCAATAAACACTTTTTTTTTGAATGAATAAATGAACCACCATTATCATCAGTTTAGATTTTTAGATAGCAGGCAACAGAAACTGATTCTGGCCCACTTAATCCCTTATTAAAATAATGGTACTTACTTCTAGAAGTGACAAGATACCTGGAGAGTCAGACTCAGACAGGGACAGGTATCCTATTATTGCTGTAATCATTTAGACCAGAGCTATTTTCACACTGTGCTTGAATAACTCCACTCAACATTTAAAGCCCCATGAGATGGAGTCTAATGATCAAAATGTGACGGAATCATCTGTCTCCCTTTGGATAGGAGAGAACGGAACACCTTTTTTTATAGTCCCACCAAAATGGCATGTAACTGGGGAGAAGCAAAGAATTAGGATGAAATCCATGTGAAGGATGAAATCAGCAGGAAGAAACTGGATGGAAAGCACAAAGAAATATCCATCACATGTTCTCATTCCTTTTAGTTTGTGTTGCTTCCACAAAGTCATGGTTGTGATGTAAGTGCATCCCCTGGGAAGAAAAAAGACCTAGCAATTTGGCCTCTGTTAATGCATCAGTATCTGCATTTTTTTCCATTTAAAAAGCCAACTACCACCTTATAAAACTGATTGCAGGAACCCTGAAGAGATGAGACCAACAAGAGTTTCTTTGTTTTTTTTTCTTAAGGATAAGATGACAGAATATGACAGTGAGGTTGTGGGATTGATAGAGAACAGTAAATAGATATCGAAAAAAGGTTAGGCACTAATGCCAAATACAGGTACCATGCCTTTAGGTAATGACATCTATATGCATAATCCTTCCAGTCATTTAATTTCATAAATTATCTAAATAATTGTTTCTAAATATTTTAGTTTCTATAATGATTACAGTGCCAGTCTGCTTTGTTACTGAGCAATTGATTACTGTCTCTGATAAAAAGTTGAAACCAGATGGTTTTTCATTTTGTTTGCCTTTTCAGATGTAGCAGTGAATGTAGGTCCATGACAACCTAGGGGTTTATTTTTAAGCATGATTCACAGTAGTTCCGTCTACTATCATTATGAAAGTCTGTCAGACATTTGGAATTGCTTTAATTTGGTAAATTTTATTGAGATTTTTATAGATGGTAAAATTAAAATTATCATTTTTTTAATTGTTAGGGGAAAAACCCCAATATATATAACCTGCCCAAATTGATTTGCATAATTGCAAATATATGTGCTACCACTGATGACCATTCCAAACCATTGCTGGAAAGCTGGTAGACTAGCAGACTGTATATTTAGGGAACTTTAGAGCTTATTTAGCTTCATTTAATAATCTGGGTCTAAACATAACATTTGTTTAGATATTAAAAAATTGATAAGTTTAGATTGATAAAAATGACACCCTTCTTTGCTCTTGGAATGAGCAAAGTTTAAAAAACTGAACTAAAAAAAGTCTCCTTGTATGAAACTAGACCTTATAAAATTTTCTTCACACTGTATTTTTAATCATATTTCTTCTATGATTTGGTGTTAGAAAATGTGTATAAAATGCCATTAGAGTGAGCAATTAAAGATTATTATGCAAAATAGAATAACTGAAATATATTATTTAGGGATTAAAAATCTTTAACATTCTATAACTTGTCAATTTTTTTCTTTGTTTAATGATACTAATCTTTCAATCTTTCTTTTTCTTTTTGCAGTGCTTTAATACGTTATTGAAACTACAAACCCATATCCACAGTGGTCTCATTGTTGACAGATTGCATATTTTGAAAGCTTGAGGTATTTTATAATGAAACATGTGGAAACTTTGAAGCATAAATTCTGCCAAACATCTGAATAAAGAATTTCTCACCTGGTGTGTAAGAGATCTCCTCACCACCACCATGACAAACCAGGAAAAATGGGTCCATCTCAGCCCCTCAGAATTTTCCCAGCTTCAGAAATATGCTGAATGTAAGTATTCATATTGATAATATGATTTGACTTGGTATTTGCACTAAACAACGTAATTATTTACTTGCCAAAACAGATTATAAATCCCATTCAGCATTGGGATAAATACAGGTGTGTCTTTTGTGTTTTCAAGTAAGTGAACTTGAGACTACCAGTTTGGCATGAGAAAAAGGAAAAGGTAAACTTAAATTGAACATTAGATCTCAAAGAAAAAGAACTAGAACTTTAGATGCAAAAGTGAACTTGGAAACACTCCCGCTGTAATAGATGTGAAGCAAAGGATAAGATAGTTTGGGAGAATGGAGACTGGTGAGTCTGTAACCAAGAAGAAGGATAAGCAGAAGTAAGGGGAAAAGTGAGATTTTTTTTTTTCCTGCATAACATTTCAAAAAGATTGGGAGTAGGGAGTCATAGATACATCATGGCATTGAAATTAGAGGTTGTAAAAGAAAGAGAAGGTGTAGGATCTTACACCACGTTGTTTAGTGTGTGTATTGATACAAAAGATAGGCCATGGTGATTCACTTTATAGTATGCAGTTTTTAAATATGGTAAGCTTCTTTACACATAAACAGTAAAATTGTATTTATTTATTGTTTTTACCATGGATTTTCAAAAATACATCTGTTTCACAAATTGAGTTTCAACAATAAATATGGGTAGCAACTGTGTCAAGATATTGAAGAGAGAAAATGAAGCAACTAATAAATAGGAGGGAGCAAAAGGCTGGGAGCACGATGAGCAGAGAAAAAATAATATGCAGGGAATGTAATAAGAATGGTTAATGTTAGAGAATAAAATGCAAGCAGTGGAAAGCAAAAAAAGAACCAATAGCACGCAATAGTGAAAGAGGCAAAAACTGGAACAGCTGGAGATGCTTATGCAGAGAATTGGGTCATGTAGGAGAGAAGTGTCAGGAGTGAATTGAATCATATTATGAAGAGGCAGAGAAAAGGATTAAACTCAAATGGAGGATTGGAATAATAAGAAATAGATATGTGAGTGAATAATAACACATTTACGGGGTACATAGTATAAGTCAGGAACATTAATAAACAATGTATATCATCTGAAGAGGCCGATTTCATAGGTTTTCCAGATTTTTCCTAACTGGAGAGCTGAAGTGTTCTGGGTGAGGTTATCAGAGTGCTGGTGGGTATTTGTAAGGGAGATGCAAACCCATGTAACCTGTAAGTTTTCTCCATCAATAATGATAAAAATACAGCAACTATCAAATGAAGGGGAGAATCAGAAATTGTTGACATCAAAATGTGGTCCTTATACTGAAAAGCTGTTTTGAGCCACTGGAAGCACAATTCATCTACTTATCACATGAAGACAATTTATCCCAGAATGGCTGAATTCTTGTCTGCATGTTTATACTCAGTGATTTCTAAACTGGCTAAACAATGATTTACCTATGTTTTGTAATTTCTATATGCTCTTTACTGTTGTGATATATCCAATAATTAAGTGAATATGTCTGAACATCTTCTTTAGGGAGAGTATTCTGCTTGGCACTGTAGGAGATGCAAATATGAACAGATATGGACCCTCCCTTTTTGGAATTTACAGTTTAATGAAGGCTAGAAACTAATGGATAAACAACTCTAGGATAAACGATATCTAGGTGAAATATCTAAGTGCTACAAGCAAAGTTTAGGGATCTGTAGGGCAATACTATGCAGCTAGAGATGGAAAAAGGGAAGGCTTCATGGAAGAAGTAGAATTTGAAATGAATCTTAAAAAATAGATTCATGGTAAATGCAGAAAAAATGATATAAATTAAAAGAAAAATTTAGCATGTATTTGAGGGAGTGGGATGAGCTACATTTAGCCACACTACAAATTAAGGGAGTAAGTGGAGGTAAGGCTATAAAAATGAGATAGAATTTAAATATACAATGCTCAACTTGAGTTAGGCAGTGAAGAGTAATTGTAGAATGTTAAGCGTAGGGCGACATGAACAATGCTATGCTCCAAGAAGCTTAATTTACAAATACGAAAATAGTATATGTGACAGAGAGACTGAAATTAGGCCAGTGGGCTACTGGGATAGACTAAAAAAAAGGTGGATGGAGAATGATGACCAGAAAAGCATAGATTCAAATATTACATCATTAAAACTAGTGGAAGAGAACTTGGGCAATAATAAATTACGAGAATTGAGAGAGAGAGAGAGAGAGAGAGAGAGAGAGACAGAAAGAGACAGTTCTAAAATTTAGCTCTAAAAATTTGACTTGGAGGACAGGGGAATTTGGTGACATAATCTCCCAAGTAAAATAAACATAATGGTTTGGTTTAGATTATGCTAAATTTAGCTGGATTATTAAAATATATTTTCCAGTGTTCGGGTACTTACAGGAAACATGCCTGTGGAGGCACTAGCATAAAATAGATAAATTATTGCCATAATAGTTAAATTATTATTTACAATAACTTTTGCTTAGATAGTCAAATTGCATTTGAATTGATAAACAGAATTTAGTACTAAAGTATTAAATATATTACAGGCTGCCACTTTTATTTTATTGGCTAAGGAATATGGAGGTACATTTAATTATATCATTAAAATGCTTGATTTAGTAATAGGTTTGCAGAAATACCTAAGACAAGTGGTAAAAAGAATTGTCATAAATGTAAAAGTTCTAACCTCTTGAGACAAAGATTAATGGGCATTCAATAAGTTGGTAGTGAGCAGTGACACAGTGAGTATAAGAACATGGTTAAAATGGATCTTATGAGAAGACATGTTAACTGTGAAGGAAATAAATAGTGCTGATTCCATGATCATTAGACGTGCTACTCTTTTTTAAATAACCAAGATAACAATGAAGAGTGTTAGACCGAATCCTCTAAGAAGTTTCCTGTATAATTAAATAGCAAAGAATATTATGATTAGATGGATCTTTGTGTAATGAATTGCCATTGTCAAAACATAACAGAAAACAAACTTATTATCCTGAAGATTATAAAAGTGGTATATTTTCCATGCTATTCAGTACATGTGATCAGTTTATCAGCAGCATTTAAGGACCGGATTTTTCATGTTGCAATGCAGTGTTGGCAAAGTGACATCCCTCTGTAGTCTATTAGAAAAGTGATATATTAGATTTTAATTGTTTTGTAACTTTCCATAAGAAATTGTTTCTATGTATTAAATGACTAAATTTTTAAAAAGTTATTAATTTAAGTTTAAATTTGCAGCATGCTAAGATTATATCTGATATATTTCAAATAAGTGTTCTGTACGCTTTTGGGGAATGGGGTGGGGTCGTCAAATTCTTGGTTGAGATGAATGAGTTCATGAAACCCCTACCCACAAAACCAAATCATTCAGTGCTGGACTTAAATAATACCATAAAGATCTTTTTCTCAAGTTATCTGATCTTGAGTTCTCTCCACAAGTGCCACAATATATCGTGTTGTATTCTGTTTAGGCTGCTATAACGAAGTACCATAGACTGGGTGACTTATAAACAACAGAAAATTATTTCTCATAGTTCTGGAGGCTGGAAGTTTGAGATTAGGGTGTGAGCATGGATTCTGGTAAAGGTCCTCTTTGGGGCTGCAAACTGCCAACTTCTTGTATTCTCACATGGTGGAAGGAGCAAGAGAAGAGCAGCAAGCTCTCCTGGGATTCTTATAAGGGCACTAATCCAGTTCATCAGGGTTCTACCCTAAGAACCTCATCTAATTCTGTTTACCTCTCAAAGATCCCTCATACTGCGAGGTACGGTTTCAACATATGCATTAGGGGAGACACAAATTTTAGTCTATTACACCCTGTAACTATACATATTGTTTCAGTTTCTAGGCTTTCCTCATAATTAATTGGGGGAAAAATAGAAGGACGTTGGCACAGCATTCCTGGCTAGGCAGGTAGCACATCAGACAGCTGTGTTCAAATCCTGGTCGTACCATATTTTAGATGTCTGACTTTCAAGTTATATAACATCTCTGTGTCCCAATTTTCATACTTGTAAAATGGGAAAAATAATAAATAATGTCGAATGTTGTAAGGATTAAATTGAATGAGTTAATATATGTCAAGTAATGAGAACAGTGCCTGGTGAGTTGCAAGTTATATAACTGTTTACGATTATTATTTTAATAGAGAGGGAGTGAGTGTGTTATGTTGGCTGTTTGAACATATTGTTGATGATCAAGTTAAAAAGTGCTGCATTTTAGAGCATTAAGAGCCAATGTCTTTTTTTGCTGCTCTAAGACCACATTCTTCCCACAAGGTAGAAGCTTCTGGTGCTGTTGGCAGCCTCGGATCTGTGTTGTCTCCACAAAGGCTGAAGGCAGCTAATGTGAAGCCTGCTGTGGCTGCCTACAGCATGCTGAGCCCATGCTCCTGTTTAGGGTTTCAGGCTGAGTCCCTCTATGGGGAGCACTTCCATTGATATGTGGGAGAGGAGTATCCTTTTCTTTTCCACTCTTCATAAAAAGTCATCCAAACTGTTGTGATAAGACGGACAGCTCTCACTCCTGCCGTGTAGAGAATTGAGCTTATCACACCATTAGTTTGTCGTTGCTTCCTGGAATCTTTTCATGGATAACAATATTTTCTATGTAAAATCTACACAGTATTTCCAAGTGATTCATTATCTGCCCACGTATCGTCACTTAGGATTAGCTTTTTATTTGCTGTATACAAAGCGTGTTATATAGCGTGTACATTATTTTTGAAAAATACTATGTTATTACAGTGGGAACACTTCCAAACTCTCATAAATTTCATACTTTTTATAGCAGCTGGCATTGTAGAGAGTTGCAGAATTATTTGATGACTTGTTCTTTTCAATAAGGACCAGCATGCCTAATATTTGGACCTAGTGTACAGTTTCTTCCATTGAAGTGAGGCGTGTGGTGTCGCTTAGTGGAAAGAGCACAGGCTTTGTAGGCAAACTAATATTCGACAGTGTTGAACCGCAGCCCCAACTTCAACTTACTAGCCTTGGGACCTTGGGAAGCTTACATGTACTACCTGTGCC